GTCACCTAAACACAACAGAACAACTTGAATCAATAAATTCTCTTTCTTTAGAACATTACAGGTCATGATTGACGTGAGAGATATAATTTTTTTTCATTATAATTATTTATACTGGTATTATTAATAATACTACATATTATAGTATGCACTATTGTTAACATAATTAATGAAAATACCTTGAAATAGTTTATAACTAAGTTGCGAAGATCACGGCAGATTGTGAAAGTTGGAAAAAAAAGGAGTTCGCACATCTCGACCGACGCGAACTTTTCCTCGTCGCCATCTTTTTATTCGTCAGACTAAGTATCAAGCTTTATTAGCCATCAAACAGGGAAGCCCTTTTACAACTCACGCTATTAAAGTTTAAAGAACTAAATGCAATTAGAATTTACAGTGTCTTTCAAATAAGAAGTAAATATTTTACACTCAATTCAGAATTTATTTAAACATTTTAATTATTCTACCGTTTATAGGCTGTAATATTGTACTATTTCCGATTTATCTGAGAAAATAGTAGATATTTATCAAGAACACAATACCTTGGTAAAATGAAAGTGTGTCATTAGAAAGTGTCTTACTTGTTGCTAAAATTCCAAAGTAATTGCAAAACGAAAAAAACAACTTTTATTTCGCTGGAATATGAAAGATATTATATTTTTGTAAGATAGACATTATAATTTAAAATATCTTCAAATAATATATAATATATAAATAAAAGGTTGAAACTGAAGAACAGGGAATTTCTAAATATGATTACCAAAAAGACGTGACTTCTGTCTTACTCATATGAGCATCATTAAACCCTGCATAATAATATCCACATTTATATATTCATTAGATGAATTACACAAATCATTAAACTTTTTATGTCACCTCAAAATTAAACAAGCCACGTTAATCAGTTTTGTACGTCATGCCCGTCTTCTAATATTAATATTCGCGAAATGTTTGAAAAGTTGCTGCCTTTTATATACGATAGTAGCACATGTCATTTTGCTCCGTTCCATGGTCTCGGAAGAATAAAAATGGATGATTATAGTTGTTGGATAAGTTTACTTATCTCCATTATTACCGAAACACAAACATAGACAATTCAGTGATCACATAGATAACTCAGTGATTTCTCTCCCCAACAAGAAAATATAGTAATTTAGTTAGAAAGAGATTTCACGTAATTGGAAATATTAAAATGATTTATAATAACATTTCAAGCAAATAATTCTATAATTATCTAAACAAGAAAAATAAAAGAAGCAACGCCTACCTGCTCGCTTACACATCGCGAAGAGTATCACTTAAGCGAATCTTTACCCAACAAAAGAAGAAGAAATGTCCACTGTGCACGAAATTTTATTAGCTCTATTAGCCGTTAAAATGGCGAAGTTTTAAACAAACACATATTTTAAAAAACACGATAATTAATAAGGTTTCGCAAATTTGTTTGATCACTTTCTCACAAATTGAGTTTGATCCTTCCGCTTAGCAGTTCGATCACAGGAGGTCGCTTGGGAAATAACAGCTGTCAGGAGAGATCGGGTGTCGTAGGAACGGTGTTGTGAAGCAAGACTATTGAAACCGTGCGAGAATTCTCGCATGTCAATCCTCATCCGTTCCCTATCCATTTCCCTATTATTTTCATTAAGAAGGAAAGTTGTTAATGAAACCAGTTTATTTGTTAAAAAATGTATAAATGTACTTCGTACTTACCTTACTTCAAATATCAAACAAAAACAATGCAATTGACGTTGTAAACAAATTTTCAATAAAGGTTTATTCAGTGTTAGGTATTTTTTTCGAACAATTCACACTTAAAAACAACATTTGCAGTAGTTATTCCTTGGCACTTAGCACTTCGCTTTCCTTGATATTCGCAAAAATATTAGGAAAAGTTTTTAATCTTGAGAAAGTCAAGTAAATATTTTCATGCGAAAATAAAGGATCGGCAAGTACCACCCTACTCTTTGCAATATGATTTAACTTCCGTGAATTTGTTATGGGGAACACAGGGGGTTTTGGAGGGGCAGGGGGCCAGCACGCTGGGGTGCGAAAATTGTAAAATTATTTGTGTACTAAAAATTTCTGCGTTCTTACGCAAGAAAAGCATTTACGAGCCAAAAAATAATGAAACTCATATTTTCCCTTACGAGTTATAAATAACATTTGTTACTATTAGAAAGAATTCAGTAGGCATAGACTTCAGTTCGGTACATGGTCATGCTGCCCGGCACCGGTGTACAGACTTCCAGGTACCTTCTTAATTTAAATCGCGCGTATGGATAGCAATTGTTGCCAGTTGGCGATCGCCTTGCGATATTCCTTCTACAACTTTAAATTTGGTTGCTTTTTTAAATTAATTCACGTAGTACTGTAGGTTAGTGCGTTTTGATTTTTGTTGTTCATTTATTTCAAGCTACTATTATACTTAAGTTAATTTAAAAAAGTTTATTCTTTGTATTGTGCCATAGCACAAATGTTCCCCTACTACTTCCGTATATCCGTGCGAGAATTCTCACATCTTAAGCCTCACACCCTGCCTGTCCTTGTATTTCCATTCTAATAGGGAAAGTTATAAACGAAATGTATCTATTTGTTTAACAAGGAGTAAAAAGGTAACTTCCAATGTACTAACGGAATATCAAATTTAAAAAAAAAATGCAATTCATGTTGAAAAGATATTTTCAATAAAGATTTATTCGGTATTATTGATAGATTTCTGGGAGCAATTCACAACACTCTTAAAAATAATTGAAGTTGTAATTCAATATTCTTTGGCAGTTAGCTTTTCATGTTTTGTGATAGTCCCAAAAATATTAAAAAAGCTTTTTTTACTCTTGAGAATCCTAAGTGACTAAAACCGCTGACTTTCACGGAATCACTGCTGATAACAAACATACTGGTACAGGTAAAACTCAGGTCAAACCTAACAAGACACGTCTTCACCCTTCACTCATCACATTCCTCCACAATTAGGTACACAGCACTTGAAAACCTCGGCAAAACTTCAAATTAATGTTTTCACAGCACAAGAAACAATCTTCATCGGAATGAAGGAAGGGCTATTAATAGTACATTTAGTTCTTGCTGGGAGAGCGAATTGAATGAATAATTATGCAAATGAACCTCGTCAGTCTGCAGAAACCACGGTGTACACAGAATGCGTAAATAATATAAGATAGAGAAGTTTTGTAACCGTGACGTCTCAAAGATGGCCACCAGTAATCTTCGGTGAAAATAGGGATAAGCCAACAAATTTCGAATAATCCACAATCACTCTATTACATTAACTTTTCAGAACAAATATTTTGGTGAAATGGATCCTAGAATTGCCGTTATTTTGAAATTTGATCACCTCTCATTATATCGAAAATGAGAAAAATAATAGAAGTACACATTTTCAAAGTGATTGTATCCCTGAGTGAGTGACATCCTTGCCATCGAGCGCTCGAATTTCTATTTTTTGTGTGTTTTTTCGAAATCATGGATATTGAAATCATAAACGTGTTTTGAAAGTTATCACCTTGGAATACAACATTGAGATTTTTTACGCATAATTATTTTTATTAATATTTGCCACAGAACTTTCAGCTGCACGATGCGGTTTCTGAAATCTGCGTTAACCGTATTTCAAGTCCCAGGAAATGCTGATTAGTATAGAAATCGCCATCAAACTACGCACCTCATTGTGTGATGAAGGAAAGACACAGGAGTACTAGAAGTAACATTGTGTGTTTTAAATGCAAACCCAACTAAATAACTTCTCGAAATTATATTATTTTAAATCTCTAAAATATTTAAAAGAAATAAAATGAAGCAACTAATTTTTACTACCCAAACATCGAAATAATACTCATCAGTCAGTGAGGAGTATCTCATTGCTCATTCGGTACGATTACAGGAGCTGTTTCGGTGTTTAGAGACAAAACTTCTTCCACGTGAGCTTCGCCTGTCCTTCAGCCCTTCACAGGCGCCGAAGAGAGATAATCGCCCACGTACCCATTATTACGCGATCGGCTGTAAAAGCAATCAACGCAACCCCAATGACATGCAAATGGGGCGCCCGTTCCTTGCAGAGGCCACGGCGAAGGGCGGGGCTGGGGGAGCGGGGGAGGCGGCGGTTTGGGAAAGGAGCGAGGGGGGCCCCGCCCGCGCAGGGCGAGGGGCCGGGGAAGGGGGGGTAGAGCGCACGTCGCTGCGCCGCGCGGGAAACGAGTGTCCGTCGGAGGCGAACCATTTAGCGGTCGGCAGACGCGCCCAGCGGCCGTCAAGGGGGGTACGCAGCCCGACGGGAGGAGAGAGGCGGGATGGCATGGTCGGGACGAGGGGGGATGGGTTAGGGAGGGAAGGGGCGTAGTGGAGGGGAATGGGGGAGAAGCGGGGGAACGAGCGGGGAAGCAGAAGGGAATGAAACGGAATATTGGAATTTCAGGAACGGGGCAAGAGGAGCGGGAGGAGACCAGAAATGGTGACGGGGAAGGATAAGGAAACCGAAAAGGACAGGAGCGGGGCCGCCAGGGGTGGGAGAGTGAAGTAGTGGCAGGGAGTGGAGCGGTTTGGGGCGAGAGGGGTGGAAGAGACGAGGGTGGCCGAGGGAGAGAGAGGGAGAGAAGAGGACGCTAGGTGGAGTCCTGCCTAAAGTGCACAGCGCGAGCCTGCAGGGCAACCGAGTGAGTGGGACGGTTCCGGAGATACAGTGGCGAGGAAAGAGAGAGAGAGCGCGCAGCTCTCTTGGGAGTCTCTCCGGAAGGAGAATGGGCCAGAGATGGTCGGATATTACGAATGGGTAAATGGAGACGTTTCCTAACGAGGCTCCGGGGCAGTGCCCGCGCTGCGGCCGGCGCGCGAGCCAGAGGCAGGAAGCGGGGCTGGCAGAGACCTCCCCAGGGCCGCGCGATGGGACGCGGAAGCTCTGAGGGCAGCAGGCAAGACGAAACAATGAGATGAGATGCGGTGCAGGACGGGAATCAAAGAGGGGAAACAGTAGGAGCGCTTAACGTGCTGTGATGAACGGGGGGTGGTAGGAGCGGTGGTAGGGAGTGGAGACGGGGGAGCGGAGACGTGGGCAGAAGCGGGGAGAGGGGACAGAGGGACGACGAAAGAGAAGGAAGGAGATGAGGCGAGGAATGAGGACGGGAGAGGAAGCAGGTATGACGCGAGGAATGACACGGGGGAAATGAAGCGGTGTATGAGGCTAGGAATGAGGCGGGAAGAAGAAGCGGACATGAGGCAAAGAATGATACGGGGAGAGGAAGTGGGGATGAGGCGAGAAATGAGGCGGGGAGAGGAAGCGGACATGAGGCGAAGAATGATACGGGGAGAGGAAGTGGGGATGAGGCGGGGAGGAAGAGAGGATGAGGCGAGAAATGAGGTGGGGATGAGGTGGGGAGGAAGCGGGGATGAGGCGAGAAATGAGGCGCAGACGACGACGAGGAGTGGGGCGTAGTCGGGGTGAGGAGTGGCGGAGGGAAACGGAGGCGGGGAGCGAGAGCGGGGAACGTTGGGTGGATAATAAGCTACAGCAGCGCCGTATGTGGCCGACATAGCGCTGGCTCGTCCCCAGTGGCAGAGGAAGCAGTTACTCTTGGGGTGGTGACGACGCTTTGGAGCGCAGAAGATTAATGACAACAAAAGCTAGCTCACGCCACATCAGATACGCAACTAAGCGGACTACGCCATCGAATAGAAACAAAAGTAGGGTAGAAAAAAATTAAACAGAACAGCACACGTAATAAGTATGAAGGGAAAAGTAGTGGAAGTAAGGAAAGAAAGAAAGATAGAAAGAAATAAAAAGAAAAGAAAGAAAAGGAGAATGGCGGTCATATGTCATTAAGAAATTCTCGACAATTTTCATCCCGTTCAGCACACACCAGAAAGCAATTTAATCAAGCCGTTCGCGTTTGAAATAATTGTGCGCGTCCTGAATATTTGAGCGATGGCAATATACCTCTGACATAAAGAGATAGAACAAATTCTCTTTAAAGCGTAAACTGTAGTAGGTAAGCATGCACTATTATTGTCATAATTATATGTACCTACGCCTTTAAGCCTGGGCGGAACTATGCGTGACGTTCAAACACACCGCTAAGGCCTACGAAAACAAAAGTGAGCGAGGGGGGGCTCTGGAGTGGATTTGGAAGGTCGATGCCCCCTTGGCGAGGCGGAAGAGACAGCTGACAGAAAGAGGAGAGAGGCGCCGGGAGGAGCGAGACGGGCGGAAGTGAGAGAGATCGAGAGAGAGAGAGAGAGATGGAGGTGGAGGAGGGCGAGTTGTTCCCCCCGTCTCCCCACCCCCCCGCGCACGCGCCCGTGGCCGCGCATCGCACGGGCAGGCAGCGCCTCCATTGTCCTCAGAGCGGGAGGAACACGCGCCAACTTGTTTCAGCGCAGTCGCGCACAGGGTAACAACTCCCAAGCGGTTGGAACACGGCCGGCACAATGGAGTCTTGGCGATTCAAGGAGAACTGGGCGCACGTGGAGATAAAGCAGGTCGGGACGCGGACAAATGCAATAGGTCGCATGGTGGGTGGGTGGGGGGTAGAATAGACGGAAGGGGTTGATAGGGTCAGAGTGGTGAGGGAGTAAGTGCGTAGTGAGGGGATGGTGATATGATGGTGACTGGAGTGAGGGTGATAAAGGGATGAGAGGATACAGGAACGAAGTCAGGCGTGTTGTGAGGAGAGTGATGGGGTGAGAGTGAAGAGGTGTAGGCGGCGAGGTGACGGGGAGAAGAGGGGGTGGCAAGGTAACGGTGACGAAGCGAGGGCAACGACGCGAGAGTGACGACGCGAGGATGACGAGGCTGGGGTGACGAGGCCACGGTGGCGACATGAGGGTGACGAGGTAAGGGTGACGATGCTGGAGTGGCGAGACCACGGTGGCGAGGCAAGGGTGACGAGGCCAGGGTGGCGAAGCGAGGGTGACGAGGGTAGGGTGACGAGGGTAGGGTGACGAGGGTAGGGTGACGAGGGTAGGGTGACGAGGGTAGGGTGACGAAGCGAGGGTGACGAGGCTGGGGTAACGAGGCCAGGGTGGCGAGTCGAGGGTAATGAGGAGATGGCGACGAGGTGATGGCGCGAGGGACGAGGGGAGGGGGCGAGGCGATGGCAAGAGAAGGGGTGAAGGAGCTGCGAGGGAGAGGCGAGAGGTGAGTGAAGGGGAGAGGAAGGCAAGAGGCGGCGCAGAGTGGTGGCGACGCCGTCCAAGGCTGCCTGTTGCCGCCTTCTGCTCTTCGCACAAACAGCTCGTAATTGGTCGCCCCCGCTCCGCTTAACCTCACAAGGGCTGGAACGTTTTATGATTAGCGGAAACGAGTCTGACGTAATTTAGCAGTCCAAACTGAACACCTTCTCCTCTCTCGGGCTATTCGTGGGGAATTGAAATTATGATCATGTCTTCATAATTTTTTTAACAGGGCCTAACTTGACATTATATGGCGTAGTCATTAACTGATGGGGACGGTACACGAGGAGAAAATTGTAACTTTTACATTTGCAGTTTTTTGCGTTTTTGATTCAAATACCCAGGCCATTCGAAAGTTGGAAATGTAATTTCCTAAGGTAGAACTTCCTTTGTGTATTTCACAGCACTTCAATTAAACCCTTTTGTTCGTTATAGTATTTATTAACTCAAATATTGTACAAAATCATAGACAATAGATTCAATTAATAAACCTTAATCATTATATTGAATCAATGTTTACATATTACTGTCATTTCCTTTTATTAGTTATTAAAGTATTTCTAATTTCTTTCCCGCTTCAAGGGAATGTCAGCATTCGTTTATCGAAAAAATAAATAGTAGATAAAACACATCTGCTTTTAACCTGACAGTAAATGCAATTAATTAACTTCAAAATTTCCCGATATTACAAAAATTCAAAATCAAAATAAGAGAAGAGACTAAAATAAGAATAATGAGTACGTTTGACGTGGAAAAAAATCAAAAGTTAATTTAAGATTAAGTCAATTGTGAATTATTCTTTTAAAACTATTTCCAATGCATTCGTGTGCTTCATACTTGCTTTCCGCAGTGCCTAACGTGGTTGAGCACAACGAAGTCTAGTTCATCTTTACCAATACGAAATAGCTCACTTACATCCAATATGTGCACTTATTGGTTTTATTAACTCTAAAATAAATAAAGTCGGGTGCATGTTTGGCGAGTCGTATATCTCGCATATTACAGAGCTGGGAAAAAATCAATTTCGTAAGTATACCCTAGTTTGTACTCCGATAAAAAATTAAATGTGAGATTCCAAAAATTAATAACATTTGCCTATATCTCTCAGAACGTGTTTGTCAAATACGGTGATACGAACGAGACATTTTAAGTAAATAGAATTTAACGTACATTATATTTTCAATATTGTGTTATCTACATATGTATCTTGATTTACATATAACATGTAAATCAATTTAAAGAGAAGACGTAATACCAACATACAGCTTTTTATTTTAACTGAAAACTTCTTCGGTCGCATCACTTCTCACAATGAAGATGCATTTTAGACTCTGGTAAAGCATTCACATTTACGAAATAAATTTGAGGATCACTATTTTTTTATAAAATAAAAGATACAAATATCGATTATATTAATTTTAAAAGTCTGATTATTTACAAGTGAGGAACTTGATTTATCCAGTGTTTGAGAGGAGGCTAGTAAAGCAAAGGATTGAACATTAAGTTAGCTTTTTTGAAGGCTGGTCGTGGAAAGGAATTTTGGCAAAGAGTCTAAGGCGGAAGGTTACAAGAAAACGAGTGCAGGAGGAGGTTAGTGTGCGTAAGAGATAGTCAATTTCAATATGGGCGAACTAGTGGAGCTGTTTTCGTGTAAAATAGCCTAAATTATTTAATAAAATACAGGGTACAGATTCTAGTTTCAGCCTATGATGGAATCTGTTTCCCTTCTCTTGGACTTTTGAGTGTCAAACAAGTAAGTGACCGGAAAAGTTCAATGTTTTGGATGTGCAAGCATTTGTCTTATATTCCTTGGTCCTTTCAGATAAAATGTAAGAAAACATGTATTTATTTGTTTTATTTTCACTTAAAATACATTTACTGCGACCGGAAACTGCTTCCTTTGAAGCAGCCAAATTCTTTTTCAACTGATTAATACATAAAACACTGGCACTTCTTTCTTAAATGTAAATGACCAACAATTATTCTGAAACGAAGGAACTTAAGAGTAATTAACAACTCTTTCAAGAAACGTTACTACATAGTATAAAAATAAAAACATAATCATTCATGGATTTTCTTCCTCATTGCGAGGCAACCTTAACAGTACTAAGAAGTTTTTGGAAGAATATTTACAATTCATATCGTGCCGTAAATTACATCCAATTTTCATATTAACGTGAAAAAGCAAAACTGCTCAGAAAGCAACGATATTTTCCTGCACGATAATATCAATCTTTGCTCAAAAAATGCTAAATAAAATGCTAAATAAAATGCTAATTAAAGAATACTAATTAAAATCAAATGCAGAAGTTATGTGGAAACATATTCACAACGAAATCAGTGTGTTTAAGAAACGCATATTTACTTTAACATAAGAGTCATTCATTTGATTAATTATTCAATTAATCTTACAATGTGACGAAAATATTTTAAAACAAAAGAGCAAGATAAATGTTACTAATAATAGTTTAAACTAAGCATGTCCTCTACTCGTGTTCAGGCTTACATGCTGCTGATGACAACTTTCGAAACTAGGCTGTTTAGTTAAGCATAATTCTGTTCTAAAGTTTGTCTGAAAGGAGTATATTAAATTATCATGCCCTCTACAAACATTGCTTGAAGCGTATCACTTTAATGCAATTCCAAACTTGAAGCAAGGTCTTTAAATAGCGTGCAGCCAGTGCTAGAATGGCCTGTGAACACAACAGTAAACACAGAGTTTTATATCGTGCCAGTGTTTCCCATCGTAGGTGGACAAGCCTCCTCGCCACTCCTTATTGTGACTATTCTCTTGCAGGAAAGAAAAAACACAATCATTGATCAATAAGTAAACTTCTGGTGCTGAAAATATCGGGAGGGAAAAATTGATTTATGATGTCATTAATTATTCCAAGGACGAATTCAATTACGAGATATACGAACAATTACGTAATTTACCAGCAAATTAAATTTAAACAAACGTAAATACAAAGACAATATAGTCAAGTGTACGGATATTTAATATTAAAATTACATTAAAACGCTAATTTTAATAAGATTTTTAAAAAAATTGACACTCATCTTGTACACGACTAATAAATATAACCCTGCCAGCATAAAAGTGAGGAGAATTGGCAATTGTTCCCAAACACGTTACATATTTCTAGAACTTTATAACTTCTGCCTATTTTTGGACTGTTTCCCCTTTAAATATATTTTCTTAATATATTAATACCAATTGTTTATGTTTCGGGGATATTTTATATTGTAATTAGGAGTAAGAATTAATTTGTGTTCATAAACCTCCACGTATTTCTCTGACGTCATCCTATATTAATTGTTCTATCTAGTTATATTTTTGTGTCTAAATAATACTTAATTAAAAGGCATGGTTAAACATAAACATTTTCACAAAATAAACAATTACTTTCTGATCAAGCTTACAATTTTTTAGATTACATGTACCTAAATCTCTCCTTTATAGGTAGTGAACTTTTTTTCTTGAATTAAAGAAAGTATGCAATGGAATAGATCAAACAAGCATTATTTGTTTTCCCATCATAACAAACATTTGAGCACAATAACAGAAGCAGCAAAGTTTGGTTTTTGAAACCCCGTAGGACCCCTAGGTTGTTTCTTGAGTCGTTTTATAACCAACTAGATTTTTTAAACTTTCTATTACATTTTGGGAGTTAGGTTGTTCTAGGTTCCCTAACAATTCAGAATTTCAAGTTTCATTTGCCAGGAGGGTCACTAATGCACGCCCCCGTAAAGTTGAAACCATTTCGTAGTAAACTAGTGGTGCTGACACAACACGTACATTCTGGCCCATACTTTCGCGCAAAATACCGCGAAAGGTTCTAAAATTTTCGAAAACTTGTACATGGCCTTATTTCAAAATCTATCTTAAAGGAAAATATTTCATTAAAAGATAAAATCTCTACCGTCATATTTGTAGTTGTAAGAAGACGACCAAACAATTTTGAATTTTTGCAATTTTTGAAAAATCAGATTTTCAACAAAAATGAGACCTCCACTTTCCTCTTAAACGTTTTCACACCATCTAACAATACAATTTAATCAAAGACGACGGAGCTGTTTCTTTGAAAATTTTGAAAATATCCTGGAAGCATCATGCAAAGTATCCTCCTAAATTAAAATATCGGTTTCAAATTGAAGGGGCCAAGACATCAGCCAATTCGATTGGAGAATATTAAGTTTTGGAGAAAATCCGCTCTACAGTTTATCCGTTAGCATTATTCACCGGCGGGCAGACACGGTTTTGCTGTCATTTGATTTTTCGGTAGGAAGTGTAGAACTCACAAAACATGAATTCTGGCTACATCACGGTTTACATGATTTTTTTTTTGAATTTGAGTATTTATCCACTTTTTTGGTATATAGGGCTCTGAAATAACCGTTTCTCTGTCACAAATTCGCTGTTTTTTCGTGTAGCATTACATAACTTTCTGCCTACTGCGGAAGCGGTAGTGAGAACGTAAAAGTTACAGTAAGTTTCTAATTTCCAATTATATGCGGGGAAACATTCTGTAAACATGTAGAGAACACGCCAAGAAATATACAGGGGAATAAATAGGGAATATGTGGGAGCCACCGGATAAAAACGAGTGGAGGACTTGTGAAATTTTTTTTTTTTTTGGCGTTACATTACTATTATAATATTATGTTGCTGGGACCGAATTATATTTAAGTCGTAATCTACTACATGAGCCTTTTTAGACCTTTCATTGCATTTTCAAAGTTTAAAAGGGCACCCCTTCCCAAATTCTGGAACAGAATATGAATATCCATGAAAATTAAATTGTTTATTTGATAATTTACTTTAATTTTACGGATTACGTGTTTGTATTAGTGCATGAACATTTAATAATTTTAGAATGTTTACTCACGAATCACATCTGTCCTAGCATAGGTTAGGGTCCGCAATTGAAAGATTGTTTCCAGTGTGAAATTATTTTCGCCTGTTTGTAATTATTTATTTGAAAAATGCAAAAAGGTAAAAATGGAACTGATATTTAAAAATTGGATCAAAATTGTATCTTACTATTTTTTTAAAAAAGTATTTAAGTATTAATTTACGTTTATGACTTC